CCCACCGTCGGCCCCGGCCGACCTCCACAGCGGGGACCAAGGGGAGCCCACCAGGATGCGGGGGATGGTCGGCAGCAGCCACCGACGTCAACACAGTTGTTCTGCCGCTGGTGGGGAGCAGCTCGCCGAGCATCATGGTGCTGCTGGCGGCCAACGGCCTCAACGTCGCCAGGTAACCAACTGATCTCCTACTAACGACGACTACTACTATTCCAGAATAGCCAACGACCTTTCGATCGAAGATATGACGTGAGCGTTCTTATTGGTGGGTGAGGGCAGCCACGTGGCGCTCGAGGGGCTGTTCAGGCATGGCCCGCAGTTCGTGCTCGAGAGGAACCTCAAGGCGCTCATCGTGCTAAAGACAGTTTACAACACGGGGATTTTAGCGTTATTTAATCAGCGATGTGGAGATAATATTATATGTCCAAACGCGTTACCACACAAGAGCACACCCAAGAGTGTCAAGATGGAGAACTGGGTCCCCGGAGCGCCCGGCTCAACAATGCAGACAACAAACTGCTCTCATCCTTCTGCCCAACCACCCAAGCCGCGAGGCCGCGGAAGGCCCCGTCGCCCCAGTCGAGGTACGTCCCCCTTCATTTTTTCCCGACGTGGGGGGTTTCTCTGTATTTATTTATATTTACATTTATATTTATTTTAGTATTTTATACTAATCCTGCCTGTTCACAGGCACCGAACCGGCGCGGCGCCAAGTGGCGATCGTGCCACAGCCGACGCCAGCCGTAACCGCACCAATGCCCAGCCAGCCCCACCCTTCGGCCGACTGGACGAGGAAAGAGAAACCACCGGTGGCGGTACCTACGGCAGCGCTCGGTGGGCCACCCACGGGCGACAGCGCCAAATCGGGCGTCTTTCTCGCGGAGGCCCTCAATGGGTTGGTCAAGCGGGTGCGCCAGCTCGAGCACGACAACGCCCGCCTGAAGAAACGCCAGCGCAAGCACCGCGAGGCCCTGCGCGAGCTCCGATCGCTGGTCGCCCAACACCAACACGCACCACCGCACTCGGACCAGCCAAGGTTGGAACAGAAGGCAGATCGCTGTCGACCCGCCACCGCCGCCGTCATCCCACATCAACCGTATTGTCCGCAGGCGTCGTCGCCGGTCGTCATCAGCGATCGTGTGGTGCTCCAACAGTTCCCGTTCCTTCGGGACTACGACATGCGCGGCAGACCCTTCGTCGGTGCCGATCCTGGGTACCACCCACCACCACCAGCTCAGCATGTGCACCACCCGGCCAACCAACGGCACTGATGAAGTGGAGTTGACTGATTGGTGGTTCGGTTGGGCGGTTGCAATGTGGGGCGGTGGCAGGAAGCCTACACTTGTGAGCTATTTCGCCGGACCGCTGCAAGCTCGGCACATGTTTGTCAACCCGCAGCTGTGCCGACTGGTGGGCCACTCGCAGGAGGATTTGCTGTTCTCCAAACCGCGCACATTCATGATTCTCGTGCCCGACAAGACCTGGCAGCTCCACCGCCTTCTCTTCGGCACCGGGTAGGTGCCAGCCCCCCCCCCTCCAATCATCTCACCGCTTTGATTCATTCTCCTCCGACTCATTGGTTCAAGCTAATCATCGCCATCGTATCATCATATCATCATATTGAATGCGCCGTTGGCTGGTTCAAGGGAGCCGATGGGTGTGAGTGATATCGTGTGGCAACGTGCGGAGATGATGCAGCGAACGGGCCACATGGTCGACGCCCACATCAGAGCGCAGTTCTTCTACGGACCCACAGGCCAGGTACGTACCATTCCCAACAACGATGGGAACGGTGTGTTGTACGCCAACATTCTTAGCTGTGTTGTGTGATGTTGTATGATGTTTGTGTACCACAACACAGCTGCGATGCGCAGTGGTGTGTGTGGAGGATGTGCTCGGGGTGAGATGCCCTCCCTGGGCACAGGAGGGAGCATGTGATGATGAAGAGCAGCACCAAGAGAAGCTGGAGCTGTACTGTGATCAGCTGAAGCAGAGAGCCGAGCTGGAGTGGCGCCAGTTCAGGGATGCCTCCCACATCACTCCTGCTGCACGTACCACAGTTGTGCCCAACAATTTGGCATCACCACCACTGCAGTCTCCTTCATTGGAGGACAGGGTCCATCTTTGCTTCTGAACAACTCCACAAAGATTGTAAATAGACACACAATCCCACAAGATCTTTGTAAGTACTCTTCCTCTCTCCCCTTTGGCCAGCACAAGGCATGTTGCTTACGCCTCTTCGTGAAGGACAACCACCAACCAATCAAAGAGCGTAGAATAAAATTAAATAAAGGAAAACCAGCCAGCTGAGGAAGTGCTGCGAGGAGCAGAGCAGAGAGCAAAGCAGAGAAGAGAAGAAGAGCAGAGCAGAGCAAAGCATCATGGCAGAGAAGCAGAAGTTGGCGCAGCTGGCGGCGCGGCCCTACAAGGACCAGGCCGTGTGGTTCCTCAACGCCTTCTGGGACCAGCTGCAGGCCAAGGGCGAGGCCGAGAAGCTGTGGAGCTTTGTGCACAAGGCCGCCGAGCTGGACCTGGAGCGCAAGGCCGACGGCACCGAGCTCGACGAGTTCCAGGCCCACCGGTTCCTCGAGCACTTCAAGGAGACCATGACCGTCCAGGCCATGCGCGACAAGTACCCCCCCCCCGCCGCCCTCCCTCCTCTTCTTCTTGGGGTTGCACATCTTTTTCATGGGGCTTAACAAAGATTGATGAACTGGTGGCGTGCAGGTTGCGGTCGCTGGGGGCGATCGAGACGGGCGTGGCCAAGAAGGTGCCACTGATCCACATGCTCATCTTCAAGTATGGGGTCGACTGGAAGGAGCTGGTCAACGCGCCCCAGGGCAACAAGGATGACATCGAAAAGGCCCAGAAGCTCCTCGACGAGGTACCCCCCCACCCCCACACCACCCACCGCACGCCCTGGCCTCTTCACCTCTATCACTGTGCTCCATCTTGAAGAGAAATGGGGTGTTCATCTCTGATCAACCGCTTTTCTTTTCTTTTTTTTGCTTTTTCTTTTCGTTTGTTTTCTTTTTGGGGGCAGGTGACGGCGGCGTTCCAGGCGTCGGAGGCTCGCGACCAGGAGGCCGCCGAGGCCGTGCGCACCGCCACCCGCCAGGAGGCCGACGCCAAGGCCGCCGAGCAGGAGGCCATCGCCAAGGAGCAGGAGGCGCACGCGCGCGAGGAGGAGCTGCGGGCGGCCAAGCAGGAGCTCGACGCCGCGCTCCACGAGCTCCAGGCCCAGGAGGAGGCCTTCAACGCGCGCACGGCCGAGCTCACGCGGCTCTCCGAGGAGGGCTCCATCGTGGCCAAGAACCGGGCCAAGAACGAGCTGGCCCAGCACCTGTCGTCGGACCCGCTGCCGCTGCGCAAGGCCAAGATCACGCAGGAGGCCGCTGTGAAGAAGGCCGAGCGCGCTGCGCAGGCCGCGCGCGAAGCCACCGAGCGCGCGTCGACCGCCCGCGCCGCCGCCCAGGCCGCCCGACGCGAGGCCGAGGCTGGTCGCCAGCGCGCTGAGGAGGCCAAGGCGGCGGCCGAGGCGGCGCTGGAGGAGGCCAAGCAGCGGCTGTCGGCGGCCGAGGCCTACCTGGAGGAGGTCAAGAACACGCTGCCGCTCGGTGGGTCGTGGTGGATGGAGCGCGAGCTGCACGAGCGGCGGGCCTATCTGCCGGCCAGCAAGGGCGGTTACAACAAGCGCACCGTGTAAAGCCCCCCCCCCAAACACTCTCGACTGATGCTGATGATGGCTTAGTCCCTCACCAGCCTGTACCTCTACCACTTTGCCACAAACGAAGACGTCCGCAAACCGGTCGCATTCATTCTTTTTTTCTTTCTTTCTTTTTCTGTTACTATTAATAATTTTATAAGTAAAATAAATAATGAAAATAAATATCAAACGGACTATCTTGTCAATATTAATTATGCAATTGTGAGGATTTGTGTGTAAGTGCCAACGGTTGTCGTGTTTATCTCCGCGAGAGGTCTTCGGCGGTTTGGCTTCCGCCAGCCGCAGCCGTCAACCGGATCATGGCCGGCGCTGCCATCATCAGGACAACGTCGCCCTCCCGCCCCCAACTCCTTCCCTTTGTTTTTTTCATTCCCCCTCTACCCACCACCGCTCTCTCTCTCTGCACAGCACCTCTTCGCTTCCTTCCGCCTTCTACTTGCGCAGTAGAAGACGAAGTGTAGCGAAGCTCTCTTTCTTTTGTTTGTTTTTGTTTGAGGAAAACGTAGAGGAATGGCTACTACGCCCAGCAGCTTCTTCCACCACCTTGCTCTTCCTCAAATCTCTTCTTCATCTTCTCCATCTTCATCTTCTTCATCTTCTGCTCCCATCAACATTCCTATGGACAAGAACATGCAGCACTCTTCATCGTCATCATCATGCTCTTCCTCCTCTTCATCCTTTCATTCTCCCATCGAATGTTCTTGCTCTCCCTCTTGCTCATTCCATCCCCCCTTTCTCTTCTCTCCATGACATCGACGACTCTTCATCATCATCTTCTACGCGGTCGCCGGAAGATGTGTCGATCGAGGAGGTCCTGCCGGTCGAGGTCATGCAGCACGTGCTCGGCTTCGTGCCCCTGGCCCACCTGGCCGGCGACGTGGCCCGCACCAGCCGGCTCTGGCGCAGCCTGGCCCTCGACCCCGCCCTCTGGCTCCCGCACTGGCGCCGCCTCCACTTCGCCCGACCCAACGTCGAGCTGCCCGTACGCTGCACCCTTGCCCGCGCGTGTCGTGCCGTGTGTGTCGTGTCGTGCGGCACAAAGAACGAAGAACGAAGGAGCAAAAGAACGAAAGCGACGATGACTGACAGCGGCGGGGGGAACTACAGGAGAACGATGCGCGGCGGGGAGTGCAGCCGCCGCCCGAGGGTGCGTGGCGCGACGAGAGGGGCAGCGAGAGCGATCCGTGGCTGGTCGACGCCGGCCGATCGCTTCAGCAGGCCTTCGATGATAACTACCCCATCGACTGGCGCCGCGAATACCTCCGTCGCAAAGTGCTCTTCTCTTTCTTCTTCTTCTTCTTAGCTGTGTGTGTGGTGCGTGTCGTGTGTCGTGTTTTTGGAGCTTACGCGAGTGTCGGAAATGCAGACTCTGCGGGTTCTGGTGGTGACCTACCACACGTCCCACAACAACAACTACGACATGGACACCATCAGGTGTGCACACAACACATTTCGCTCCTTTCTGGGTCATGTTTTTTGTCGATTAATTCTATCTTTTACACTAACACACACACACACAGGCAGCTGAAGAAGTTTGGCATTCACGCCGACATATGCCACCTCATGTGCAATCACGACAACAAGGCGGCCAACCCGCCGCAGGGTTCTACAGCTATGTCGACTACGATGACAACCTCTTCATGAAGTATGACACGATCATCTACTTCGCCGCCATGTCCGGCAGTGAGACAATGAAGGTACCTTCACTGCTGCTCTCTGTCTGGCCTTCAACACACACGACACACGACACGACACACACGACACGCGCTCACCGCACGCGCACGTTTCTGTACAGAAATCACTGGGCGACGGCCTCCGGCGTTTCTCAAGTCGGGCGGAGGCGTTATCTTCTGCATCTACACGCACATGAAGGTATCTATACTCCCCCGGAAGCTTCGCGCCGCTCTACTGCTGACGACACGACACACGACACGACACACGACACGACGCACACGACGCACACGACAGAGCTACCAGCTGCAGGGCAAGTGGACCGAGAGCTTCTACCCCATCAAGCCCGCCAATCGGCTCTATCCGCCGGTTGGCGACGCCCACCAGAAGCGGGAGAAGAGCAGACACCCGATCATGACCGGCGTGCGCAACTCCCAGATCGACACCACGCGCCACGGCAGCCGCTGCCTGGGCCAAATCGATCCCCTCGCCCAGTACGCACAGCCACGCCACGTCAGCATTTTTATTTACATCTATTTTGATTTTTATGTTTTATTTATTGTAGTTTATATTATATTTATATTATATTTCTCTATTGTGTGGTGCAGGGTGGTGGGTGAGTACGAGGACGGGGTGCCGCTGGTGGTGGTGCTCGACGGCGAGGCCAACCGAGCCAAGTCCCGCGAAGAAGAGGAGAAGGCCCGGCGGGAGGAGCAGGAAGAGGCCGCCGCGGCCGAGCAGAAACAGGAGCAGGGGTCAGATCGCAGCCAAGCCGGAGAGCGATCGCCCGACGACAGCAGCGGCGATGACATGTGCGAGTCGGGGCCGCAACCGCAGCCGCAGCCGGAGAAGCCCGCCAAGCCCGACCAGGAGGAGCAGGAGTGGGGCAAGACCGTCTTCCTCAACTTCTTCCCCGTCTCCAAGGACGACCCCTGCACCGGTACCCCTCACGCTGATGACATGTGACACGCACCCGAGTGCGTGTTCGCGAGTGTGCGGCGTGTTCGTGTGTGTCGTGCGGCGACATTGCTAACCCTCTTTCATCATCCCCCGGCCGTGCAGGAGGGTGGTACGATTGGAACTCGGACATTCCGCTGCTGCTGCGGAATGCCGTTCTGTTCGCCGCTCGCAAGGGGGCGTCTCCCGCACCCGACTCCTCCTTTTCGCACTGATCGGAGGGGGGGGAGGTCTGTTGTTGTCTATTTGTCCAAAGCTCTTCTTCTTTACGCAAAGGCTGGCGTGCAAAAGTGGAGTTCATTGTTGGCTGCTGCTTGTCGAGGAGAACGACGGTGTCGTGACGGTGTCGTTCTAGAATGTAAAAAAAGAGAGAGAAAAGCACGATCCGTGGCTTTATGTACACGAAAGTGGTGATGTGGTGGAGCAATCGATGGAAGAAGGGCCATCACCACGAGCTGCCCTTCTCCTTGACGAGGTCGAAGAGCAGGAACTCGACGCGCTTGCCGTCCTCCTCCGCGGCGTTGGCGCCCACGAGCTGCAGGCGCGTGCCGGCCTGGATGAAGGCGCCGTCGCCGGCCTCGAGCACGATCTCCTCGTCGCTGCGGTCGTCCAGCAGACGCAGGCGGCCGCCCGTGTCGCACACGTGGACGTAGCCGCACCGCTCCGGGCCGAAGCCGTACGACACCGCCTCGTCCCTGGCCAGCAGCGACGCGTAGACCTGCGCGTTCTGGTTGATGACGATGGGCGTCTTCTCCTCCTTCAGCTCATCGGCACTGGTGTCGGCCTTCGTCTTCTTGTTGTTGTTGTTGGTGTTCTGGTCAGCGCCGTGGTACTTGGAGGTGACGATGAGACAGAGCCGGCCGTGCTTCTCCTCGTCGGTGAAGTCGACGGTCTGATAGTTGGGCTCGAGCTCGCGCTGGTCGGGCTTGAGCCAGATCTGGAGGAAGTGGACCGGCTTGGTGCGCGAGTGGTTGTACTCGCTGTGCATGATGCCGCTGCCGGCCGAGGTGAACTGGACGCCGCCGCGCTTGATCACCTCGCGGTTGGACAGCGTGTCCCTGTGCTCGAGGCTGCCCGAGATCACGTAGCTGAAGATCTCGTAGTTGCTGTGCGGATGCGCGCCAAATCCCTGTCCGAATGCACAGATGTCAGCATTTGGAAGCGTAGAGATGAAAGGAAGAGCGAAGATTAAAAAGGTGTGTGTAGAAGCAAAAGAGGTGTAGTACCTGGCTGGGCGCTACGCGGTCTTCGTTGAGTACGCGGAGGCTGGACCAGCCGGTGAAGCGCGGGTCGTGGTACATGGCGAAGGAGAAGGTGTGGTAGGTGTTCAGCCACCCGTGCTTGGCGTGGCCCCTCTCCTGCGACCGCCTAATCTTGATGCGCTTGGCCAGGCTGCTCATCTTTTCTTCTGTTTGTTCTTCTTGCGAGCGGGTTACCGTACGAGTGTGAGTAGTAGTGCTGCTGTTGGTTGTTGTTTATGAAGATGAAGCGGTCCATCTTGGCCTTATGTAATCCATTTTGTCATCTTCCAAACTCGGCCCGCCGTCGGCCCGAATTCGGGCCGAACAGAATATTGCACTGGTGGTGGAGTCAGTCTTCGAAAGAGAGCTGCCTGCAGTCCGCTGGATCAGCTGGTGGTCCGCACCAGGGGGTTGGTGTTTGGGACCACCGCTTCATGCGCAGACCGCAGTGCGAGATCTCCTTCTTCTTCGACTTGCCTCGTCTCAGTGGTCGGCCAGCCATTCGTCAATGTCTTGAAGAATGTAGCCGAACGGGCCGGGGCCGCCCTTGAACTCTATACGGCCGCTCTGGACAATGTAGAGACGCTCTGGCCAGGCGCTGAACAAGGCGCAGGCCCGATCGTTCATGTGGTCCACTACGCGCACATAGCAAAACAGTTCAGTTACACAAGAAGATGTGATGGTGCGGATGGGGTGGAGGGTACCATAGAGTGGGAGATGGTGGCCGAACGTCTCAGCTTGGCGCGCCAGGGCTACCCGCTGCATGATACAGGGATGAGACTCATAATCGTCAGTGTGGAGGAGGAAGAGGGCGAGATCAAACCTGGTTGAGAGTTTGAGGGCGCCTGAAACACACACCATCGTCATCATTGCATTGCAGCGCCCAGCCGTCAGCTGGATGTGCTTCGTCAATGTAGACCGACAGGAACACAGCCTGCATTGTTTTTGAACAAAACAACGAAGTTGAGGTATTCACGTCTTGGTGTGGAGGAAGGACCAAAGTGCACCTTGTGGCGGTGCTTGTCGGCCATGGCCTGAACCTTGGACAGGTTCAGCCTCCACGGTGGTCAGGTGATGCTGCCAAAATTGAGCACAATTGGCATGTTGCCATGCTCGCCTAGTAGGAGCATGAGATGAGCGTTAGGCAGGCCTGTGACCGCAGCGTGTTGAGGAAGAGTACCAAGAATGTTGGTGAGTGTGATGTTGGAGTTGGTTCTGGGGTCATGGAGCACCACATCAGGAACCGCGTCACCCAGTTCAAGCAAGCCCTCGCTTGGGAGTACTCTGTTGGCCTGGACCCCAGAGAAGAAAGCACCTACAGCGAGTGGTGAGGCTTTGGTCCTCCAATTCAGAGAGTGGACAAGGGGTACGTACCCTTTGCAAGGCCCCAGAGCACAGCGCTCTTGCTGCCACAGGTGACACCCACAAACGCAGCAGTAGCAGGGCTACGCTTGATGTAGGGCATGAAGACAGGCATCGCTTTCACATAGTGCCACAGCGCCCTTACTACCCTGACCCACCCCTGCGAGCATGAGCGTCAGACTTTGCTTCTACGCTACACACATAAATGCTGCTAACAATCGTAGCTGAAGGAGGTACCCATAGCAGCAGCACCAGGAAAGATTGGCTCATGCACACCCACAGCGGCGGCACGGACAGCAGGAGGTGATGTTGACGCGCAATGCCGGCCAGGCAAGGCCGGACCTTGGCTTACCAACCGACAATTGGGCGAGAAATGGCCATTTCTCGATCTATTTCCACGTCAGCATAAAGAAAGTTAGAGAAACACCAAATCCGCAAAATAAACAAAAAGATGAACGAAGCGAGGGGGCGACGGGACCGTTCTGAAGACTACCAGACCCTGCTCTTCCATCATACGTCACCCTCCACATATGCTTCCGCACCATGTTCCAATCAACATACACCACGCACCAATCTTACGAGATTCCTTTTCTGCTCCGCCGCGCTGCACGTTCGCTTGACCACCAGCACTCGAGCGGCTGGCGGAAGAGACGAAGCGACTGGCGACCAACTCGCAACGGCTGGCTGAGTTCAACGCCGACCTCAGCATGACGTCGGCCCAGTCTCGGGCTTCGCTGCGCAACCTGCACGACATCCACCGCGCGCCCAAGTAGAGTCGTGTACCTCGGCCGCCGATCGGCGAACACATCAAGGGTGGCCCGGGCCATGGCAAGGTCAGGCTGGTTGCACAGCGGTTGCACACCAAGTTCAGCTTTTGTGTACGCAGAAAAAACAGGGAAAAGAAATAGTGCACAATAAATAAATATTTATTTGTTTGCTTTTTGTTCTTTGTTGTGATCATCTGCAAGAAGAGCGAGAGATGTCGGTCATCGCAAGATTCCCCAAATCGGACCCCCCGCTGACGGCTCTGGTCACTGCCGAGTTCGTGCCGCAAGACAAGAAGACCGGCATCAAGTTCACTCCCAAGAATGACAAGGATCAGGAGATCACCGAACTTGCCTTCTTCCCGCAAGGGTACAAGCAGCACTCCTCAATTTCTTCATCTTGGCTCTACTTCGTCTCGTTATCCTCTGCCAAATTTTCAAGCGCAAGATTTCTAGGCCATTTTTTGATTGTTCTGGGTTCTATGCAGAGACGTGCTGAGGGGCGATCACGTGATCGCGCGTTACATCTCGAGGCAGGACCCCTCGAAGGGTCTTGCTGGTGAGGATGCCAAGGCCCAGAGCAACGTACGGAAATCCCAATTCGCGTTGTACTACGCGAGTAGCACGATTAATCAACTCTAATGTCCTTTGGCTGCCTCCGCCAATTGATGCATCACAGGTGGACCAGTGGCTCGAGCTGGCGCTGGTGCGTCTGTCGAAGAAGGTCACCGACGAGGAGGCCTTCAACGCCGCCCTCCGCCTGCTGGACGCCCACCTGACCCTGCGCACGTTCTTCGTGGGCTACGGCGTCACCCTGGCCGACATCGGCGTGTGGGGCGCCCTCAAGCTCCACCCCCTCTGGGCCAAGGCCTCCCAGACCAAGCATGCCAACGAGCACCTCGTCCGGTATGTGTGTGCGTGTGCGATTGTGTCTGTGTCGTGTGTGCGGTTTGTTGACGTGAGCTCCAGGTGGTTCAAGTACGTGGACTCGCTGCCTCAGTTCGTGGCGGTGTCGACCAAGTACGCCGGCGGTACTGTCAAGACCGAGGAGGCTGCGGCCGCGGCTGGCGCGGCTGCCGGTGGGCGCAAGGCGGCCTCCAAGGCCAAGTACCAGGAGCTCGAGGGCGCTGAGGAGGGCAAGGTCGTCACTCGGTTCCCTCCGGAGCCGTCGGGCTACCTCCACATGGGCCACGTCAAGGCCGCTCTGCTCAACTACCACTATGCCCACATGTACAACGGCAAGCTCATCCTCCGCTTCGACGACACCAACCCCACCAAGGAGAGCGTACGTATTTTCTCTCTTTTTTCGTTCTTTTTCTTCTTCTGAATTATGGTCGTGTTGTGTGTGCGCTACAACAGAACGAGTTTGTGGATAGCATCACTGCTGATCTGGCCACCCTGGGCATCGTGCCGGCGAAGATCACCTACACGTCCGATTACTTTGACCTCATCATCGAGAAGGCCGAGTACCTCATCAAGAAGGGCCTCGCCTACATCGACACCACCCCCAACGAGGAGGTAAATCCTTCATTCTTTTTCTTCATTCTTTTCTTCGCTTACGCCAATAATATGTTAACCGTTATTATTGTTGTACTCGTGCAGCTCAAGACCATGAGGAAGGCGATGATCGAGTCCCCCTTCCGTAACCAGCCCATCGAGGAGAGCCTCCGCCAGTGGCAAGAGATGAAGCTCGGCTCGCCCGAGGGCCAGAAATGCGTGCTGCGCGCCAAGATCGACATGCAGTCCAAGGTCGGCTGCATGAGGGACCCCAACATCTTCCGCGTGGTTCTCATTCCTCACCACAGGACTGGGTAAGCGCCGCCTTGTTGTTGAGCATGTGCGGTCGTGTGTGTGTGTGTGTGGTGAATGCCTGAGAGCTGACACTGCGTTCGATGCCACACAGATCCAAGTACAAGGTGTACCCGATCTACGATTTCGCGTGCCCCATCGTGGACTCGATTGAGGGTGTGACCCACGCCGGTCGGTCCAACGAGTACCACGACAGGGATGGCCAGTACAAGTGGTTCCTCGAGAACCTCGACCTGGCGCACCACCCCAAGATCAAGGACTTCAGCCGACTCAACTTCCAGTACACTCTGCTCTCCAAGCGTAAGCTGCAGTACTTCGTCGACAAGGGCATCGTCGAGGGCTGGAACTCTCCTGCCTTCCCCACCCTCCAGGGTACGCATAACCACACACACACACACACACACACACACACACACACACAAATACACACACACACAAACACACACAAACACACACGGGCTGATCTATTGTTGTATTATGCGCTCAGGTGTGCTGCGTCGCGGTCTGACGGTGGAGGCGCTGCGCGAGTTCATCATCGCCCAGGGCTCGTCGTCCCGCACCAACCTCCAGGAGATGGAGAAGCTGTGGGCGCTCAACAAGCAGATCATCGATCCCGTCATCCCCCGCTACACCGCCATAGAGACCAGCAAGAAAGTGCCGTTCCACCTCACCAACGGTACCACACACGGCACGACTCGACATGACACACCGCACACACAACACATAAATGACTCTTTTGTTGCTCGATGCAGGCCCTGCCACGCCCTACACCAAGTCGGTGCCTCGCCACCGCAAGAACTTGGAGCTCGGCGAGAAGGTCCTGACCTTCACCAACACCGTCTACCTGGAGCAGGAGGACGCCAAGATCCTCAAGGACAATGAGGAGGTACGTCACGCCGCTTGGGTTGCCCTTTTCCCATCTCCTACGACTTCGTACTCACCCGCGTGTGCGTGTCGTGTATGTCGTGTCGTGTCGTGTCGTGTTTTGTTGTAACTGGAACAGTTCACGCTGATGAACTGGGGTAACGCTATCGTGAGGAAGATCACCAAGTCCGACGACGGCGTGGTGACCGCCATGGAGGGCGAGCTGCACCTGGAGGGCGATTTCACCACCACCAAGTGGAAGCTCACCTGGCTGCCCGTCATCGACGATCTCATTCCAGTATTTTCCCCCCCCCACCCGTGTTTTCCACCACACACACCGCACACCGCACACACACACTGATAAATGTGAACCATCATCAGGTCGACCTGCGCAAGTACGGCTACCTGATCACCAAGTCCAAGCTGGCCGAGGACGAGGACTTCAAGCAGTGGGTCAACCCCAACATCATCAGCGTGACGAGCACCCTCGGCGACCCCAACCTGAGGCTGGCCCAGAAGGGCGACCGGCTGCAGCTGGAGCGCAGGGGCTACTTCATCGTCGACCAGCCCTACCTGGGCTTCGACGCCGCCCAGCCGCTCGTGCTCATCCAGATCCCCGATGGCCACAAGGAGGAGATCGCCGATACCTCTTCCGCTGCCGCCGCCGCCGCGCCTGCCAAGGGCAAGGCCCAGCAGGCCAAGAACAAGAAGGCCGCCGCCCAGTAAGCGACTATCATCATCATCACCATTGGCTTGAAGAAGAAGAAGAAGAAGAAGAAGAAGAGGAATCTGATGAAGAAGGTTTTGATTCGACTACTCCCAGAGGTGCTTCCACTTCTCCTTCTTTTTCTTTTGGTTGGCTTCGTTCTGGGCGCGGGCCTGGAGCTTCTCGGAGACGGTGGTGGCCTTGGCCGACTTCTTGGCCTTGCGCACCTTGCTCTTGCGCGACTCCTGCTTCTTGATCTTCTTGCCCGCCACGCCCAGTGCGCCACTACCCAACAACCGCACACGTGTGCGCACACAGAGTCAGAAACACACGACACGACACGCGCGCAGGGAGGCATGTACCTCCTCGGTGTCGCGGGTTCTGACGTGGGCGCTGGCATTGTGCTCTGCAGCGCGGCGGCGCCCTGTTCGCCGAGGAGCTGCAGCATGAAGGGGTTCTGTGTGACGGGCGTGGTGGTCCAGCCGTCGTCGGCCGCTGGTGGTGCGGCGGGCGCTGCCGCGGGCTTGGCCTTTGGCTTGTCCACGTCCATGGAGGTCTCTGCCCAGGAAAAGAGAGGTGAGCGGATGAGTTGACGGTGAATGGTGGCATCAAGTTTCTTTATCAAGAATGGCAATTTGATTTAGATTTATCAAAAAATCTGCTGTATATTGAGACAAATAGGTGCAAAGTTTGGCAGAGCATACTTTTGGTCTTTTGCTTGCCCATGTTGTGTGATTTGAGGTCCGGAGTGTTCAATCAGAAATAATAAACATTTTTCTGTTTCAAGATCTAACTCCGTCTGTGTAAAAGCCGGAACGGTGCACTAAGGCCTGGCCGGTGCAACGCGGTGCCACGACGCCACAAGCTGTTGCAGCTCTCGAACTGTTTGACATCCTACTCGGCCAGGTGGCCCTCGTAAACACAACCTGCTCTCTCTGCGTGCACCTCAGGTGGCGAGTGTAGGCCGGAGGGTTAATGAAGGTCACCCCACTCTTCCCAACAGCTCGCACAGGGACGTTGGGGAATACCCCAATCTCAACGACGATCTTCCATAGACAAAAAGGACCAGCTAGTAACCGTTGGGGACCTCGTTTCCTTTCGCTTTCCCGCTTTTTCTCTTTGTTTTTCCTGCAGACACAGAAAGGGACAGCGGTGGGTCAAGTGGAGAAACCACGCCTGTGTGGGTGTTCCTCTAATTTCGTTGACGCTACCATCTTGGACAGTAGATTGGAGAGGCCTGCTGCACACCATCAACCATCCCTTTTCTTTCTCCTGCACCGGCAGAGTGGTCGGTAACGTCCTACTCGCCATCGCCATTCGGGAATACGAAATCTGTAGAACGTATTAGTGGGCTAATTGGCGATTATTTTACGTTCCTTGCCCACAGATTTGTGCCTGATTCCTGTTTCGATCGATAGGCGCTGAAGCCCGTAAATCCTCATCCGCAAGATCTTGAATAAGGAACAAAATGGCGGCTCGTTCTCGGTACTTGGCCACGACCACCTACATGGCCACTCCATCTGCCACGATCGTAGGCACTCCCTTTGTCCGAATGTCACAAACTTCCATGCTTCGATTAGGCGCTACTTCGCGAGGCATCTCCTCCTCCGGTACCACTTCTCTCATCTCTCGGTTATTTATTTGAGACATGCATTTATTTTACGTTCTTCATCCAAACGCTGGCGCCTGCGAAGCCGTTGCCCTGGCGCTTCCTCGCGGCACCTCTGGCAGCTGTGCATTCCTTCTGGGCCCTCACGCCGCCGCCAGCTGGCGAAGGTACCCAAGTCAAGCCTCTCTCAACGACACAAGCTGTACAGCTCAAGGTGAATTGCAATGTGTTCACACTCTTGTCGGACACGACACACATGACACACACAGAAGCGGACGCTCGTCCGCCACTGTGCTCCAGTGGCCCGGAGCGGGTTCGTCGGCCGCAGCAGGAAGACTACGCGTGTCGGAGGCCGCCTGCGCGCGATACTACGCCACGGGTGGCAGTCTGCCCGACAGCAATCAATCGCCCAAGGCGGTGTCGGCGGAGGACAAGGAGGCGGTGCCCAAGAAGACGCTGGTGGGCCGAGCGGTCCACTCCACCAAGAAGGTGGTGACGTTCATCAAGGAGGGCATTCACCACTACTGGCTCGGCTCCAAGCTGCTCGCCCTCAACGTGCGCACGGCCTTCAATATCGCCGTGCGACTCAAGAACGGCCACACCCTCACGGTACGTGGCTTGCTCAGCGCCTCTGTGCGTGTGCTGTCATGGTGCGTGTGCGGGCGCGCCTGGGTCTGTGCTAATAACGAGCGCAATTGTTGCACAACATTTTTTATCGCAGCGACGAGAGAGGCAACACATGATCAGGACGACGGCCGACCTGTTCCGACTGGTCCCCTTTGCGGTGTTCGTGATCGTGCCCTTCATGGAGTTTTTGCTGCCGATCGCCCTCAAGATTTTCCCCAACATGCTGCCCTCGACCTTCCAGGTAACTTACTAGGCGCCCCGCCCATCCTGCGATCGCAGCTCTGATCTGAGTTAACCAACGCACAATTTTTTAATTCTTTTTTATTTTATTTTTATTCTATGTTTTGCTTCTTATTGTTAGGACACGATGAAGAAGGAGGAGGACATGCGGAAGCAGCTGCTGCTCAAGCTCAAGATGGCCAGCTTCCTCCAGGACACCCTCCAGGAAATGGCTGAGACCGGAGAAACTCATGTATGCGCACCTCTCCTTGCGCGCGCGCGCGTCGTGTGTGTTGTGTGTCGTGCTGGCTTTACATACAACATGGCTCACCGCTGCTGTGTTGGTGGCTGCCAGGCGGATATCCCCAAGGAGGAGTTCCTGGACTTCATGAAGAGAGTCCGTGGCGGCGGCGAGGTGTCGGGCGAGGAGGTGCTCAAGTTCGCGAAGCTGTTCAAGGACGATTTTACCATCATGAACCTTTCCCGCGCCCAGCTGTCGTCTATCTGTAAATTCCTCAACCTCCGACCCTACGGTACCGACGCTTTCATGCGATGGCAGATCTCTCGCAGGTACCACAACACCACACACCACACATACACACACACCAATGCTCAATTTTGCATGTCCTGCTCATCACAGGGTGTCAAAGCTGAGGGAGGACGACACCATGATTGCGCAGGAGGGCGTCAAGTCGCTCACCTTCGAAGAACTCCAGCAAGCCTGCATCGCCCGCGGCATGCCCGCCACCGGCCTCTCCAAGGTCGCCCTCAGGTTCGTGCCGCACCACTCAGGCTGGCCCTTCCCCTTCACGCCGCCAACTCACAGTGACACACAACACACGACACGACCAACGACACGACCAACGACACGACCAACGACACGACCAACGACACGACACACGGGCACAACAGGGAGCAATTGGAGGAATGGCTGGATTCTTCGCTCAATGAGCAGTTGCCCGCCGTAATCCTCATTCTGTCTCGCGCCCTCTCTCTCACCACCGCGAGTCAGGTTTGTTACACACACACACACACACACACACATCACACCATTCGACTGACTGATTACGGGGCCGAGCAGAAGGTGGACGCAGCTCTGCGCGAGACGATATCGACGCTGCCGGAGGATGTCGTGGAGGAAGCCGAGCTGGAGATGGACCTGCAGAAGGGCGCGCCCTCCGACCGACAGCTCA